ATTAATACAGGACGCAGCATCAAACAACTCACAAACTACCCAGTTTTGTAACTAACTGGATGGCAGCCCGCATATTAATACAGGCTGACCCAGGGACTCTCCCCTGTCCAATCACTACCTCAGACTCAGACCCAACCCTCCCCCACTTAAGGAGGCTTTCAACAGCTACGTGCGCAACAGCTGGCTCAGAGTTGCATAGAATGGCCAGAAGATGTGCAGAATAGAAACTGGGTCTGAACTAAGGAATTTTCTAGAATGATTAAACAGCAAAGCCAGGCTGCAAAGCTAAATAGAACTCCTGAACTCTGGTTCCATACTCCTTCTACCTGTTCTCACCATCCTTTGTTTTCTACTTGTGCCTGAGTCATACCCTAACTGGGAGCTCCATGGCGCGAGCACAAAGTGACTCAGCTGATAGATAACAAGGCATGAGATTATCGCAGCATTTGTGTCCTGGTTTTGAAAACAAGATGCTGTCCAACCACCGGAGCAGTTCTGCAGGGAAAGGTTACTTTCGTCCAAGTTAGGCCATGAGTGCCCGTAGTCTGGGAAGACCCCGACAACACGAGGATGGGAAAGTACACAGAAATCATCCTTTCATCCACTTCCCTGACACCCGCCCAGGTCTACCTCCTGGAACTTACTTCTTGTGTATGAAGTATCCATTGGTTGGAATCGCCCCCAAGGGTTCCCCTGGACAAGGGAGAGGTGCTAGGAAGTGGGGCCATAAACAGGTGTGTGCCATGGAGCAGGGGGCAGGCCTGGGAGCCCCGTCCAGCGTGAGCCAACAGCATTCAGGCCGGCAAGCAACCGAAGCATATTTTGGTGCCCTCCAGCACCTTCCCTGGCTTTGGAGGAAGAACTGCAGAACAGTATGTGCAGCTTTCGCCACTGTCCAGGCAGCTGTCTTCCAGGGCTTTTATGGTTCCCACTTTGAACGGGGGGCAGCCTTTGGCCCAATGCCTCGCATCTCATCCACCCCCATCCTCATTCCGTGATGCATTCAGACCTACGGAGGGGACATGGGGCTTGGGCACATTAGCTCTGAAATGACATAAATCCACAGGAAGACGGAACTATCCTGAGGAGGCAGCTTTCACACCCCGGAGGCTCAGGCTTGAAGCCTGGAGTGAGCACTGCAGACACAAAGCCCCTAGAGGGAGCCCTCACTCAACTGGTTTGGAGTGCCACAAGCAACTGGGAAAACGCAAATAAATACAGCATGATGGAGCCTAAGGATGGACGAACTTCTCTGTCCACACCCCCACCCCCCGCCCCGCCAAAACCAGTGGTGCTCAGGGGGCCATCTGGGTTGCCAGGGGCAGCTGTGTGCAAGACAAGTGTCCTACCTACCTGCTGTATCGCATCTCCTTCCCATCAATTTCCCATTGCTACTGTGTCTCTTCTTCATTATTGGAATATTTTGATCCTTATAATAAAATCTTTAAAAGTTAGCAACCTACATCATCACTGAACAGCTTCCAACAGGTTCTACGGTCCAAGGAGGCAGGAGGGAATTCAAGAGGGGAAAGAGGCGGAAGTTCATTTTCAGTCTGATTAAAAACTTACCCAGAGTTTGAGTCCAACTTACTGTTATACTGTCAGCTCCACTCCAGAATCCTCAGGGGGATTAAACAATCTTCTCTCCACTGACAGGCCCAAAGAGGTACCCCTCAAAAAGTAGAGGCTTGGGGCTGGAGCGATAGTACAGTGGGTAGGGCATTTGCCTTGCAGGTGACGACCCAGGTTCAATTCCCAGCATCCCATATGTTCCCCCTGAGTACTGCCAGGATTAATTTCTGAGTGCAGAGCCAGGAGTAACCCCTGAGCATTGCCAGGTCTGACCCAAAATGCAAAAACAAAAACAAACAAAAACAAAAAAGTAGAGGCTGGCTCTGGGGACAGATGTGAACTCATAAATGTGACTCGGGCCGTTTTCTTCCAGGTTCTTGGCCCCAGTTGATTAGACACAATGGTGAGGCCCAATATTTACAGAAAGGTCAAGTAGCAGCAAGAAAGCAGAAAGCCTTTTGGAATCCTGGTTTCCTGCATGGAGGGTTTTCCTTCTGGGGCTCCTGGTCTCTGGATCCCTGTACTCCTTGTACTCCTGTACCCTTGCAGGTACTGAGTAATTCCGGTCAGTAATCAGAGGGACATTTGGTCCAGCCAGCCTCTGTTCTTGAAATTTAATGACCTTCAGGGTCTTCTTTTCCAGGAAGTCTACTTCTTAAAGAGTGAGACAAAGGTGTAGGGAATTTTTTTCCCACCTTCTTTTAGAATATTCTTGGAACAAATTAACTGGGCTGCAAAGCCCACCTGGCCTCCATGAGTGATGAGAGCTTCATCCACCTCCTGAGTCCACTGAGCCACTTCTCACCTTTTTATTTCTCAAATGATCCAAGACTCTTCCCGGAGATTAGCTACTGCCTTCTCCCCTCCTCTAAAACACCTCAACAAGTACTATTTACATTTGGTGTTCCTTAAGGGCCTGACTGGGTGGGGACTGGGGGTCCTCAGAAGTGCTCAAGAGCTATTTGAACAATCCCTATTTGTCCTCAAAAGTTTTAACTACAGCTTACATCCCAACATTTCTGTATATAACCATATGTATACCCTTATACATAACCGAATGAAAGGTCTTACATATTAAGAAATTAAAGTGACAAAATTAAAATTACTTTTAATGTTTTATTTTATATGAACATGTATAAATGCCAACTTATTCATTCACAAATTTATAAATACTTGTAATTTTCACAAAAATGATACTTTGTAAAGCAATTTTTTTTTAAATCCTCTGAAAAGGGATGTAAACCTAGTTGATCATGGAAAGTTTTGCAATAGTAAAGTCTGTCTTCCAGAATTTTGGGTTCGACAAGAGTGTTTCTTCCCTCAAGCAATTATTTATGATGTGAAGTTTCCCATCCAAATGTTTTCTTGTAAAATGATGATGATCACTGATACATGGGTGATGAAAATCCCACAAGCTGCATGCCTCAATTTTCAGAAAATTAAAGTGCTCATTTTCCTTACATTCTATAGTTTGTGTAAAATATATGCATTAACCATTCTAATTCCTTTATTCTCTTTGCTGGCGGGTAGGGGGCTATGCCCCACTGTGTCAGGCATTTCTTCCATCATGGATCCAGGGACTTTATATTCTGCCAGGACTGAAATCTATAGCTGTACTATCTCTCTGACCCCAAGCCACAGCTAATTTTTTAACCCCCAAATGAGATTCTTCTACTGATGGTACAAATGTTATGATCGTCACAATGTGCAGCAATCCCTTCTAAATCCTTTCGTATTTGTTAAAAGCAAATTCATCATCACAGCTACCTTGAGACAACTTATTACCAATTCCATCTTCCACCACGGTCAGCAGTGCATTTTATTTTTGCTTTTTGGGTCACACCCGATGATGCACAGGGGTTTCACCTGGCTCTGCACTCAGGAATTGCCCCTGGCGGTGTTCAGGGGACCATATGAGATAATGGGAATCGAACCCAGGTTGGCCACATGCAAGGCAAACACCGTACCCGCTGTGCTACTGCTCCAGCCCCGAAAAGTGCATTTGAATTTGGAGGAAGAAAGAAACAAATATTGAAATCAACAGAAAACCAGACCTGAGGATGCTCTGCTGCAACTGAAATCTAAGAGCAACAGTATTTTCCTTCTTTCGGACAGAATGCTGTGGGCTGCCTGACAGACACACACACAGTCGGTCCCTGGGAGTTAAGAGTGAAAAGGGCTAAGATGACAGGCTTTCTGGTGCCAGCGGCCATCTCTCCTAGGACTATCTATCCTGATGCAGACTGCAATCTTTCCAAGTCTGGTGAAACTCCACTTCTCTTACGCTCTTGCCTTTAAATACTTGTAGTCCCCACACTACCACACAGGACTAAACATTTTCTCGTGTTTCTTCATCTTTGTTTCTCCACCTGAGCCGGAGTCACACCTCAGATGAGTAATTCCGCGTGGCAAAGACTGCATTATAGGATGATTAGCAGCGTCCCTGATCCCTACGCATAATTTGCCAGATCCTGAATATCCTATCCCAACTTTTTGTATCTCTGCGAAGTATTTAATCACAATTACAAAGTCATGCCCAGGTGAGAATCACTATCCTGGCCCAGAAAACCATGCTGTGGGTCACCAATACCTGAGCACTGGCTTAGTCTGATTATAAATTGAATGCAACATGGCAGAGTTGACCCAGCAGAAAGTTTTTCCTTAAGAATTCCTACATCTCTATCCAAAGATTGAAAATAAGTAAATCAGGACCAAGATTAAAATCTGTTTCCTTAAAAAGTTGAGAGCTGGGGTTTTTCTTTCAGATATGATAACTCATTATAACTCCTTATTCAAGTACCAGGAATCACACAACCGCTAACCAAAAACCTGAAATTAGTAAATTTAGTGAGAAAGTGGAAATAGGATGTCTACTAAATTAGAAGCAATTTTAGAGGCTTTGATCTGTTGAATATTGATCAACATCTACTACCATGTATAGCTTTCCTACATATAACAAAGTATACTCAGAAGAAAGGGATTTTTCTTGCAGACATGATCCTATTCAAGTGCCAGGATCACAATGACCACTAACCAAAAACCTGAAATTAGTTGAGAAGAGAAAATGGAAATGAGATTCTGACTTTACTCAATTAGAAGCAACTTTAGAGGCTTCGACCTGTCAAATTATTGATCAACACCTACCATGTATAGCCTTCCTACATCTGACAAAGTATATTCGGAAGAAAATGTAAATTAAACATTTTGAACATGTGTTTTGTTTTTGTTTTGGGGTCATACCCAGGGCTTTCTCCTGGTCCTGCTGAAGGATGACTCCTAGAAATGCCCTGGAAACCATAGGTAGTGTCAAACATTGAAGCAAGATCAGCCGTGTACAAGGTAAGCTGTGTACAAGGATAAGGACCCTCATACCCCTAGGCTATTTCTTCAGGCCTGAAAAGTTTGCTTTAAATAAAATATGATCTTAGTAAGTTTAGTGGTTTTATTGCACTGTTCAAAAACTGTTATGAAAGAGAGCAAAAAAAAATAGACATTATATTTGTTTATTTTACAATCAGTCTGCCATCCTTTACCATTATGGCTTTAAATTTTCATTCTGCCCAACAAGTTTCAAAGAATAGTTTATTACATGCCTTAATAAAACATTTAAAATACTTTACAAATTCAAAATAGATGTTTCAGAACTGAAAAAGTTCACCTGAGAATTCATTATAACATTGCCATCTGACTTTTTTTCCCCAAGTTGTTAATGTGGCTAAATGTCCACATGCAACCTGTATTGTCCACTACATCAAATATATTCAATTCCTTATTTAAAATTGGTTAAGTATTCTGCTACAGGAAATGCCTTAAAATTTATAGATGGAGAAACCAAGATTTATATCCACATTTTTTAAATATAAAAATTTAAAAATTATTTACTACAGCTATAGAATTCATAATGAAAATAACAATTTAATGCAGTATTATTTTACTGAGTTAGACATTAACATTTTAAAAAATCAATAAAGCATCGAGAAAGCCAATTAATAAAATAAGGAACAATGATCACATATATATGTAATATACAAACTAAAAACCACCTTTCCAAAATTATGCATGAAGGAAAAGATATACACTGTATACACATTATCCTGTCATTTGTCTTAGGCAGCCTCAAAAAAAAAAAAACCTGAAACTATTTTTTTTTACGAAAAAACTTCTTTAGAAGTTAAATGTTAAAATAGGCATAAAAGTGTAATGTTATGCAATTATCTAGAAAACATTTCCACCTATGGCCAAAAAAGACAAATGTCTTTTTAAAAAAAATTTGTCCCTTCGTATTACAACTTGAAAATTATGTAGGTATGAGGTAGTGTACTTGTATTACATGCTGGTTATTAAAATTAATGCTATATTTTAAGAAATATTACACTTGGCCAATAACCAGAATATCATCAAAATAAACCCTTAATGCTAAACTTATGTAGAATTTATGTTTGTATGTAGAAAGAAATTTAAACCAGGTGTCTTAAAAATCATATTTAAACTCTGGAGACATTGAGGGTTTACCATAAAATAGTTGGTAACCTTTCAAAGCGGTTATTTACAGTAGCCATTAAAGCAAAAAAAATCATTTGACATTAGCACATACCAAACTGATATGACAAACAGCTGAGTATACACTGAGGTAGGAAATCAAGAATTCCATTGGCTTGTATTGATTTTACATTTTGTAAACCAAAAAAGTTTTTATATTATTTTATATTCTGAAGTTAAAAATTACAAGTATCAAAGAAACAGCTACGTGGGTTTATATATATATATATATATATGTACACACACACATATATATACACAATTCCTTTTTAGTATAGGATGTATCATCACGGAATAATCATTCTCCCTGATAAATTCTTGAGAATTCCTATGAAGTGATAAGAAAATAAGCCCAACTAGTTTTTTCTTGCAGTAGCTAAGAGCAGAGATTATAAACTACTAAGAACAGACTAGCAGTAGATCCCCCATCTCCCCACTTCAGAAAGGATAATGTTTGAAAGACAGTCTGGTCCCCACATGCTCTCCGATGCTCACTCCTATGTGGTGGTGAGTGGAGCACTGTCCCCCACGTCAGCTCCACAGGCTCACCCCTAAACTCCAGGTACAGTCTAGAGTGTTTCTCACAACTGTCTGACCAGATGAAATGAAGGTTTATTTTTGATCCAGACACTATCAAGAACTCTTTCCTACCCCTTAAAAACTAGGTACAGCAAATGTTTCTGTCAATGCCAAATATGCATTTTCAGCTGTTGGTAACGTTCCAAACTTTTGACTCTCAAAAGTCATCAAACACCAGAATGGCTAAGAACCACTGTACAATATTAGGGGGCAGATGATAGAGGCTGTATTCAAATATAGGAATGAATAAACACAAAGACTGATTTTAAAATACCCAAGTCAAAATGAATGTGTGGGTCCCAGGACATCAGAGTTGAGGAAGAGAACCAAGATCGAATCTGACTTCCAGTGACCAAGATCAAATTCCAACCTACTTCAGAAACCTGCATGATCACTAGAGGTGCATTTCAATTTACCATAATGTTGTGTTTTTGTTTCTGTTTTTTTTTTAACAAGAGTGACAAGACTTTAAAATAGATCGAAAAGTGAGCTGCTACAGCTGGTAAATGTAGGTCCTCTTCTTTCCTGTGGTCTGGTTTTCTTACCTGGGTGCTCTCTAATGGGAAGGCAAGCAGTCTTGTATTTGGGTGAGAAAGCTGTCCAGAATTCTAAAGCCTAAGACACTCGCTAGCCCTGCTGCTTCTTCCAAAGAAATAAGCGTGTCACAGACATGAAGGTGATGGAGAGAAAAAGGAGAGGATTCTTCCCTGCTATTAACACAGCCTGCACTACTGATGGAGAGCAGAATGATTCCCAGTGCAATTTAGGAATCACGGTGCAAACCAAAAAAACCCTGATTCTGGAAGCAGCTGAAGAGCAATGATCTTTAATGCTGTTATTTCTATTTCAAGATCCCATTTTGCACACTTAAGTTCCACACGAACACTCCCAAGGAACTGAGACCTGACCTCTGAAGAGAACAGACCTTGGTTAGTAACTTTCTGGGGAGAACTTTTCTCTTACACGGGGGTACTGCAAAAGGGTTACACTAATAAAACTTTGTAGGCTACTTTTTCTAGCAGGAATTATCTGTAGATACTTTAAGCTGTGAAACCACTTTTTTTTCCATAATGCTGTTTCATTCTCATGTTTATTTTGAATACTGGGAAAAATTATGACTTAATGCTATTCTTTGATGCATGAATTTTAAAACCTTACTACATTTTCACATGTGATTTTTTTTTTCAGTATCTAGGAAGCAAAATCTTTTCCACATCTCTTGTAGAAATCAAGACATTAGGTCAAATTCAGAGGAATTCCCTTATCAGCAAACCATGAGGGGGTTAAATAAAAACAATATGTTTAAGGAACAGATGGTTATATGGAGCGTCCAAACAATGTCAAAACTTCAGCAGAAAATAAAAATCAGCCCGTCTGAAGGAAGTGAGTGCAAGTTTACTCGTCAGTAGTACATTTATCAGTCATTTGCTGACAGAAATCCGAGATGCTGCCGCTGGGCCGACACTGTTCCACAAGCCCGGCCTGCCCAGTGCTGGCCCCGGGCCCAGGCTCCTGGCCCCGAGGGCCACCCGGCTCGCTGCTCCTGCTGGTGCTGGAATAGCCCGGGCTCTGCTGCTCGGTGGCGGGCGAGGGCACCACGGGGGGCCCCTCAGGTAAACTCAACACAGCCGGGAAGGCAAGTTCCCCATCTGGAGTACTTTTCCCTTTCTCGGAGATGAGAAAGGAAAGCGGGCAGTCGGAGGCCGAGTACTTAGCGAGGATCTGGATCTGTTCCTGACTCAGCGCTGCTTCTTTGCAAACTTGCTGGCAGAGTCCAGTCAGGTTCTGCTTGGTCTCGCCAAGGGTGGACAGGATGTGATCGCGTTCCTTCAACAAGTTCTCCTTCTCATTTTGCTGTGAGAGGGTGGAGAGAGAGAGGACAAAACAACTTCTGTTTATTAGTGCCACAAACATGTCTACGGGGAGCCAATACAGCTACAGTGCCTCTCACTTAAGTACGATCACATTCATTCCTCCACAGAATTCAGAAATCTTCAGATTTTTTAGAAATTTCACCGAGGTGCACACAATATTTCTCTTGGAGGGTCTAGGGTAGAGAGCACCCCCACTATCAAATTCTCTTTACACTTGTAAGAAAAACACATTAAACTATCAACTCACGCGCAAGGTAGGAGGAAGACTCCACACAGCCTAGCCTCTGTTGTGTGTCAAATTTTTGGCTAAAGGAGTTTGTGATAAACTTGTATGGGTTTTCAGAGCCTTTTGAATTTTTGGACTGCAGATAAACAAGGAGGAAACTTGACACCTGGGATATCCTGAAACAAATCAGGGTGACCATGGGAAGGACAGCAGAGCCCAGAGTTGAACATTGCCAGAGTCACCATGCCAGTGGCTGATCACTGCAGCGTGAAGAACTGGGAGGTGGCGGGGGGAGGGGGATCTTTTTTTTTTTTTTCCTGGTGTGTGTGGTGTGTCTTGTGATCATTAACTGTTTCAGCACACAGGAAAGCCTCTTAAGGTATTTTCCAAGAGTTTTCCAGGTTTTCCCAGTTCCTGCCTTCTGTTCCCCCACACAGGCCACCACTGACACCTCATTTCCTCGTTCTTCCTCATTTACTCCTTCTTCTTTATCTATCCCGAGACTGTTTCATGTCTAGGCTGAGCTAAGCCAATGAGTGTTCGGGTCATTTCTGTGCTGAGTCGGCACAGACTGACACAAGGGCAAAGGTTTCTCTGGAGAACCTTCTGACAATTCCTGGGTTTCTGATTGTTGATGGGTTCTAGAAATCTGAGGTTTTTCTATCATCATTTGGATTTATTTTTAAGTACTTATTTTTGGTTTTGAGGTTATACCCAGCAGCAAAGGCTACTTCTGCCTCAGTGTTCAGGGGTTGCTCTGGAAAGTACTTGGGGAACCATGTGGTACCTGAGCCTCCTGCATACAAGACGCACTCCACCACACCAGATGACTTTTTTTTTGGGGGGGGGGGTGTCACACCCAGTGATTCTCAGGGGTTACTCCTGGCTCTACACTCAGGAATCACTCCTGTCAGGCTCAGGGAACCATATGGGATGTCAGGGATCGAACCCAGGTTGGCCATGTGCAAGACAAATGCCCTACACACTGTACTATCTCCCTAGCCACAAAATAAGCATTTTTTTTTCCTGGAACAAAAATAGCTAAAAAGATTAAAAATAGCCATAAGGATGAAACATGTTACTGTTTTAGTTTTTCTGCAAAACTAAATGCAAATCTACTAGTATCCTACAACTGCTTTAGTATTTTAAAGGCAATATATTTTAAGAAAATGTGAAAAAATATAACTTACATTTTAATAATGTAAAATAGCCTGATTTTATATGAAACTTGCTCAGATTTTTCAGATTTTTATAAACGTCTTGGAAAAAAATTTAGGGTTATGTGATACATAGATAAGTTCATGTATGCATATGTACACAAGAATAAACAAAACAACGATCAATACTCAATACATTTCTCTTAAGAATTTGCCAGTTGGAGGCCAAGGGGGTAGGGTGGGAGGGGTCTACAGTTGGGCCAAGGACCAGAAAAGTGCCTACTGCTACCCCCAGAGAAGAAAATAAAACATTCAACACAATCAGCATCTCCGACTTTTTCTCACACGCTAATACAAGTGAAAAACAAAACTTCCAGAACAACAAGTATGTTTCCTCACTCACACATTATTTAGAACTCAATTAGAACCAGAATGAGTATTTGTTCTAAACAACAGCAGACAAGCCTTCAACAGTGTTACACTAAGGATTAAGTGAAACACTGAAGAGCTGAGCTTCCTTCCTCAAATTAGAACAACTTGAGATATTAGAAAGATCGCAAATATTTTATAACGTGTTTATCTTTAGATAAACAACATGATCCTTAACTGTTCTTACTCTCCAACCAATCAATGAAGGATACCACTATAATCTTTAAGTACACCTTCTCCCCAGGTGGCTTACCTCTCCACAACTAAAACCAACGGGTAAACCCTAGAACTTATCCGTGATTATTCCTATGAACTAAATGGTCCCTTAAGTTCCTTGCACTTGAAGCCACCCTCTCCGTAGCAGCTAGCTGGTTTTTCCACTTCACTTTAATTTTAAGATACAAGTTTACTACAACAGTTTTGCTAAGTAAGTTCAGTTAAATCATTTTGGCAAAATAAATAAAAATAATTCAACTTAGTCACTTCATGATATATTAGCTACTTCCCTACCAGTATCTTATTACATATTTCTAAACATATTTTTATTTTCTTAGTATGCAACTACATAAATCTTACGCTTTAAGTACTGTAGCCTTAATCACATATCCATTAAAAATTGAATAAAATCCGTGGTCCCAATTCAACATTTACAGCAAATTTACATCTAGAGCTACATTTTAGCTACTAGTGTGCAATATTTATTCAAATTTAGTAAGTTTTTTTTTTAATTCTAAATATAACCGACCCAGTACAAGATAAGGAATGGAAGAATGCAGCACAGAAACATGTGACATGTGACAGTGACTTTAAGGTTAAATAATATTCAACTGAGAGAAAATGGTGACTAGTTGCTCCTTCCATAAAACCTCTGAACAGGTGGCTCAGAGAAATACCTAACTGTCCCTTGAAAATATACATAGAAGAGTCAATATCACTTCTAAGAGAAACAAAATTAGACGCTAATGGGAGATAACCAATTCTCACTATCACAGTGAAAAAACTTAATTTTTTGCTGAGGTTCTGGGCTGACAAGACACCCAACACCTACCCTACTTAGTGAAGGGCAAAATACAACACAACACATACCCAAAAGAACTCAGTGACACCTGACAGAATGTACTCCTGATTCATCAATAGAAATCTACCCTAGAAACATGTCTTCTTAAGCATCAAAATAGAGCTCATAATCACCCACTTTCACTTACTACATGTCCAACAATAAAGCACACTGAGAACTAAGACCTTTAAATAATTTTTCAGACCCATCCAGACAATAAAAATAAATGAATAAATAAACCACTGTTAGTTAACAGAGTGTGTCAACACTTTCACAAAGTGACATCTTTATTTTTTAAAGAGGGTGGGGTGGGGAGAGATATTTGTCATACTCCTCCATATTCTCAATTATCTGCACTACTACCTACAGATTTTCACTAGAGCATCAATACTGTCAATAATTCCATTAAAAGAAAATTTGGAAAAGCTCCTGAACATTCCCCAATAACCAGGTTTTAAGAATACTTAGTAAGTATTCGGCCTTAAATTCTTTTCTTTCTAGAGAAAGGGCCACCCTTCTTAGTCATATTTAATAGCACATTTTCTGCCATTTTCATCTGGGAAAGCTGTGACAGGACTAAATTTAAAATTTTGTGACTGGAATTTCTCCACTATCTGACACTAGAACCGCAAGTAGGTTTGAAAGACTTAGTTCAAACTTCAGTTCAAGGAACTTAAAAACAGAATAAGCCACTCTGACACCCTCCACCCCCCCACCCCCCACCCCCCCAAAAAAAAATCCTACCATCTCCTCACTGGGGAAAAGGAAAGCACGTGTGAGGCGAGCCCTCTGGCCCCTCGCTGGAATGATGGGAAATCCAACCAGGCCCTGGGCAGCCAAGCATTCACCAGCTGCCTCTGCTCCTTGTTGAGATGTTCTCCTCCTCGTTAAAGTTTAAAGGGATTCAAACTATAATCATGACTAGACTGATCCCTGGTCCCATGCTTGGGCTTTTCTATCAAGATGTAATTATATCTTTCTAACAAATTTGTTCATTCATACTTCAGATGCTTTCTGTTTCTTTTAGCCAAAAATGCAAAACAATACAATTAGTTACTAGAGTACCAATCATTCTAATTGTTTGACTTAAAAGCATATTTATGTGTGTAAATCATATATATAAAAGCATATATATACATACATACATATATATATATATATGAAAGCCAATGTTCTCTTATATTGGAAATTAACTGACAGAACAGGCTCTGCCTGTGTGAATGGAGCCTATTACTATAGGGAAGCAACATAGGGTGAAGTTCAAACTCAGAATTATAGTTCATTAGAACACACACACACACACACACACACACACACACACACACACACACCCCAGGTAAAAGAATCAATTAAGGAAAACTGAAAATCTGTAATAACATAGTAAAAAAAAGTTAAAATGAAAAAGATAGTATCTGCTCAGTGTTTACTTAGTTCTTTCAATGTAACTCATTTAATACTGGTACATAAATGAATATCCACTCTACATAAACAATAAACTAGCATTATCTCATTTTACATATGAGAACACTCAGGCACAAATGAATGAACAATCTACTCAAAGTTATAAAGTGCCACAGACTGGGAATGTGATTCATAATTACATATTTTTAAGCACAGTCTCTCGACACTCTCTCTGTTGAAGTAAAGGCTGAGTGGAAACTGCAAGGAGAACAAAATAAAAAAAAATCATTCCAGATATTTTTTTGTGGAAAAAAAAAATCAACTGTTCAGCAATTCACTATATGACATCAATCCAAAAACTAAATATAAGACCTATTAGGAAACAAAATACTTCTGAAAGGTAATAGTTACTATGAAACATACTGCCTTAATTACGATTGTACAAAATAATCATAAAACAACTTAATCAATGTAAAGGCTTTCTGGTTTTCATTTCTGGGTGTGCTTGCCTTTGGAGAGGAAATGGTAAAGGTAAGGTAAAGGTAAAGGCCCTCCCGTTGTTCATCGATTTGCTCAAGCGGGCCCAGTAACGTCTCCATTGGAGATTTTGTTGTTACTGTGTTTGGCATATCAAATACATCACGGGTGGCTTGCCAGGCTCTGCCATGTGGGCGAGATACTCTCGATAGCTGGCTGGGCTCTCCGGGAGGGGCGGAGGAATCGAACTCGGGTCGGCCATGTTGGCTGCGTGCAAGGCAAACGCCCTACCGCTGTGCAATCGCTCTGAGGTGGGTCAGAGAAACAGTACAGCAGGCAGGGAGCTTGCTTTGACTGCAGCCAACCCAGGCTCAATTTCCAGTGCTCCAAATGGTCCTCGGAGCCCCACCAGGAGTGACCCATAACCACAAAGCTAGGAGTAAGCCCTGAGTACTGCCAGGGTGTGGCCTCCCCTCAACAAGATAATTAGCTGAGAAAGAAGAGAAATATAAGCAACAGTTCTCAGAACTCTAGTCATTTAATGTCATGTAGATTTCAAGTAGCTCCAGACAATCCATTAGTCTAAAAGGTAAAATTCCATACTCCATGACATTTAAGTGTTCTACTAGAAGAAAAGTAGTAAGGAAGCCTACGACCACTACCACTTACAGGTATGTACTGATAACTGCCTACCCCCATGAAATGGCTGATAAATATTACTTAATTTGCAACTTTCATTCTTTGGTCCTAACAGCCTAGTCATTCAACAGTCCATAGTTTTATAAAAATGTATTTTACTTTTATAGCATGCTTCCATTTATAAACCATCTGGTTTCTCTTCCATCTTTTTATACCCTTAAATATCTTCACCTTTTCATACTTAGGTTCACCTTTTGCAATTAAAACATAATACATGTATTTATATTTTTAAACTTAGGGATGGGGCTGGAGCGACAGCACAGCGGTAGGGCGTTTGCCTTACACGCAGCCAACATGGCTGACCCGAGTCTAATTCTTCCGCCCCTCTCAGAGAGCCTGGCAAGCTACCGAGAGTATCTCACCTGCACAGCAAAGCCTGGCAAGCTACCCATGACGTATTTGATATGCCAAACACAGTAACAAGTCTAAGGATGTTACTGGCCCGCTGAAGCAAATGGATGAACAGCGGGAGGACCGTGACCGAACTTAGGGATGCAAATAGATACAGTTTCCGATTTTCTACGTTGTTGCTATTTAATTGCAATTCATAGCTAGCTGGCTTAGGATAAAAAATTGTTACAATCACAATTTTCAATTTTAACCAATAAATAACCAAGGTAGAACATTTAAAGAATTCTAGGCAATGTTTCCCTATGGCCTCTGACCCCATGTGGAGCTTAGCCAGCATTATCAGGTGTCTTTCAGACAAAGCTTACTTCCCAACCACTATCGAAGCACCAGTGCTAATACTTCAGTTCATTTGTACTTGTATTGAACAGACAAGCAGACTCAGTAAAATGAGGGTTCTTCTAAAGATGCTCCACTCATAGCAGCATGTAAGCTTTTCCCCTTAAATAAAAGGTCTAGTTGGGTATGTTTTAGTATCAACAAAAGCTGGGGCCAGAGCAATCATTCAGTGGGTAGAGTGTTTGCTTTGCACATAGCTGACCTCAGTTGGGTCCCCGAAACCCCACATAGTCCCCGAGCCAGCCAGGAGGAATTCCTGATCCGAGCTCCAATGGGCATGGCTCCAAAACAAACACAAACAAATAAATGAAAAAACAAAAACAAGTTACTCAAGTCTACAATTTATTTAAAGAACTAGAATATTCGTTTTTAGAGACATCACAGTGCTTATAAAGAGCTTCCCAACTATGCAACCGTCCAATTACCCCGACTTTGTTCATCATTAAAAATAAGCCCTCAAATAAATAAATAAATAAATAAAAGTAAGCCCTCAGAAAGCATTCTCAACATTTTAATAGTACTGCTAAGGTAAGTAGGTAGAATACGGCACTGAAGTTAAAAGAGAGCTAACTTAATTTCTGAAAATGACAGAGAACTCTTTTTCTGAAAATGGCAAGTGAAACTCCATCTAGATCACCTAGTTACTGGGGATGCGGGCATCTCGGTCACACATAGCTGTTTCCAATCTGCCATGTTCTAGTTATTACTAACCAAGTCCACCTATGTCTAAAGAAGTCAACTGATCAGTTTTTTGAAATTAATGCATAACTGAACATTTTATCTGACTTATAATTATAAAGGGAATGGAGGGAGGGGGGAGGGATTCGGAAGGAGAGAATGTGGGAGTGAGATTTAAACAATAAGCCACTGTACACTTACCAGCTTCTCAATCTCGGACTCAAGATTCTGTATACAGTCGAGTTTTCTCTTGCGACAGCGCTGGGCAGCAATTCTGTTTTTACTTCTCCTTCGAATATCATGGATACAATCCAGTTGCTCTGGAGTCAATTTGTGCATTTTCAGCAATGATTGAAAATCATTTCGAGAGAGCGAAATTATTCGTTGGGCATTAAATGGCAGCTTTACCTAAAATGTGAAACAAACATTAATAATTGTTTCTGTATCTTGCAGTTACACTTAAATTTGGGAAGAAGAAAATACATCTATTTTCCAGAGAACTTAATTTTGGACTTAAGAAAACAGACTAGACTAGTCCCGATTTCTACATGGTACCTTCTGCTACTCTATTTTAGAGAGGGTTCAGCAAAATGTGAGTCACAATAATTTTTCTGTAAATCAAGCATATTAATACAAGAGTGAAAAGAAAATTTAAGTTATTTTCCCAGGATATATTAATCCTCCAATCATCAAGCCACATCCTAATGTTTTAATGTGATTTTATTCAAATTAAAATATCTACTATATTCTTTGATTTGTAGCACTGTGTAATACTGATTCAATACTGTAATACTCATTTTAAAAACATTTCAGAACATTTATTTTCCTGTCAAGAAAATGGTAATTTTGTATAACTTATTTTAAAGGCTACACTTCCACTTGCCAATGTAGAAAAGTGAAAAACCTTTGTAAGTTAATGTTATTTTTAATATATGTAAATTTGAAAAAGGAATATATAAGTATCGTAACTATGGGATAATTTAATATACCATTTAAAATGCAAATAGTGTGCTGGAGAGCTACTACCATGAGTTGAGCACCTGCCTTGTGCACAGCTGACCAGAGTTCGATCCCTGCCATCCCATACGGTCCCAAGTACCAGTATAAGTAATTCCTGCATGCAGAGCCAGAAGTACCGCCAGGTGTGGCCCAAATAAATAAGTTAATTTAATGTAATGCAAATGGTACACTGGTTAGCTTCTCTGGCAACCAATTTGGCTTGCCATTCAAGTTTATAGAAATTAGTCACATTAAATGTTCTGAAATGTTCATACTACTGTAGACTTTTGCATTTCTAACCCTCTTCACTGTTTGAAATGCTGCATTCATAAACATCACACAAAAATTCCACTGATATACATTAGTTCATAAAAAAGCATACGTATTATTTCTTAAAGCACCTCTTTCCAAAGGCAGAGTAAAGGCCTCTTTCACACTTTCAGATATGTAAGTCAACAGCTATATAAGAAAACATAAGAACCAACAAGTCCTTATTACTCGAAGTGTCATAATGGTTTACCCAAAATCAGCTATCTCTAGTAAACACAAACTTAAGTTAACAAAGTACTCTGAACAAGCTTGGTACGATTAATTCCATATCCTCCACATGTAACTCAAGCTGAATTTACAGCCATTGAATAATTGCTGAAATGTCTACGGGAAAATAAAAAATAATGGGTTGTGAAATCTAATGTAAACTATGCATCAGAAGACACAGCCCTACAACTAGTCACTGCTAACTCAGTGGTGTCTACTTTTCTCAGGCTTAGGGGACACTTGCAGTCATGAACAAGATCACACACACACACACACACACACACACACACACACACACACACTCTTTCTCTTTCTCTCCTCTCTCTCTCTCTCTCTCTCTCTCTCTCACACACACACACACACACACTCTGCTACATTTTTCTGGGAGTGACTATGTAATAATCACAGAATCATTATGCTTTTTCCTCTTGGGACACAGCTTTTGACTTAAGCAGTTAAAACCCAAAGTGATCCACTACTCCATAATTAACACCAATACACCCACCCTGAAATACATAAAGAAGTCCACACATCATCACACTCATCTGGGCCTGATGCCAGATTTCATCCCTTAACACACCTCCGGACCATGCTCATACCCTATGGCATATAAGGAGCTGCTGACACCAAGCAGGGGTCAATTACAAGCCATCAGACACAATTCCCATCCTCCTCACCTCACACTCTTGTTCTCTGGCCGAGTAGGATTCACTGTCTCCTTCAGTATCAGTCTCAGAGTCATCTCCCAGGCTGATGACACATGTGTAGGGACAAGGTTCCTGCTGGGGCTCAGAAGTATAACCATCGTTGCCAATTTCCAAATTGCTTGAACAGCCTTCGGTGCTCAGAGTGCTGATGAAAGGGCAGTTGACAGAACTCAACGTGGTGAAAGTCCTCTGCCCCGGCTCTGGGCTCTCGCTGATTCTGATGCCCAACCAGGGACACTCGGACCGTTTCTGTGGGTAGATGGGTTCGGAACTCTCTTTGGCCACAGCGGGTGATAACTGGATTTGGCAATGGGCTTCCGTGCTGCAAATATCACTCCAGAAGCCTTTCGCTAGGTGCTCAGCCACTTCCCGTTCCACACTACTCCGGTCACTGGAGGCAAGGCTACTGTCTTCCCTGGGGCCAGGGTCAGATTTCAAATGTAACTCCTGACTTTCACTGAATAATTTTTCTTCTGGAACGTCTGTACCTGACAAAGGCTTCTCTGTTAACACTGTCATGTTTTGCATACCAGCAAAATTCAAGTCACCGTATTGGTCATACGTGTGTAAGAGGGACAGAGAATAGAGGCCATGAGGATCCGCAGAAGAGCTGTGGGGTAGAGGAGCCACCTCGGTTTGCTCGGACGGACACTGAGAAGCGGGATCTTTCTTCTTGGTTTCTTCATGTTCCACTGGTAATTTAGTTTCTTCACATTTTAAGATCACTTGCAGATCTGCACAATCTTGGACACCCCCGAGACATTCACTCTCAGATGTCTCATTTGGCGGAACACACGAAGTGTGAACATCTTTGACAACGGATTCCACAGGTCGAATTCTGTCGGTTCCAAATGCTTTCTGAAATTTTCTGTATTTGGGGCATAAAGATGGCAGAGCCAGAGCAGCATCCTTTTCTAAGCACATGGATTCACATGTTTGACTGGCACTGTCTTGAAGAGGAAGTGATACTTTTGCATTTCCTTGATACCGACGAAGTTTACACTGAGGCATCTGAACATTTTTGTTTTCCAAAAATTCCTCCACTTCATCTATTTCCAATTCCCTCTGGTCTGAAAGGGAAATTTTAAGGTCTGTTTTCTGACAGTGCGATGGGAAGCATTTTATTCTTGGGCGTTCTTGCTGGTCAGCAGTAGAGTCCGAAAACTTACATTTGAGAAACTGAAAGCAGGATTCCTCAATATCACGTACACCTAAAAACTCTACACACTTGCACACCTCATCCACATTGTCCTTACTTAAGAACAGCTTAGCGGTGTAGGCAAACTGAATTAAAGGTTCAAATCCTTTAACTGTCACCTGTGAATATACAAAATAAAAATAAATGCATCGCTTAAAAAAAAAAAGTAGCATGAGAAGGAAATGAGATGGTATTTACAGAACAGGCATCAGAAATGTAAACTAAGATTCTAGAAAAGCATACCACATCTCCCACTTTATAGACTTCGCTCTGAAGGTAACCTTGTTTAGGAATATGAGCTGAAGACATAAGTATGAGCACAAAGTTCCCACATTAGCGGAAATAAATCATCTATGCAATAATGCAGGAAGAACACAGCATGCAACTCACACAGGATCAAGTCAGGTTCCTGTGGGCACCTCAGCACCATGCAGTCCCTAAATTCTAAATAATTCCAACTACTATAATGTTCAAATACAATGAAGACTAGAAAACAGTATTTAATCCACTTAGAAAGTAGCTCTGACCCACAGGAAATACAAAGTAAGGTGAGATGTGGCCCAATAAGCACACAACCGCAAAATAATCTAATCATACCCAACTGCAAACCATAATGCCCAAATTATGTGGGGAAGGGGGAAGGGGGAGGGAGACAGAGGGAGAGGGAGGGACAGAGAGTGGGAGAGAGGGAGGGAGAGAGGGAGGAGGGAAGTACCTGCCATCAAGGCAGATTGGTGGAGGCGGGGGTGGCAGGAGGGAAAATGGGAACACTGATGGGGAGAAATGTACACTGGAGAAGTGAAGGGAAGGATGTTGGAACATGTATGACTGAAACCTAATCATACACAACTTAGTAACTGTGTATCGCATGGTGATTCAATTTTTAAAAGGGGGGAATATAAATAATCCAATCATATCAACCACTATTTCAGCAAAGATTCAAGAACTCTATAGGCAATAAAAAACCTTTACAAAGGAAATCCTTTACAACAAACCTGCTGCCTCTACAGAGTGAGGCATCTCATTCTGGAGTAGACACAAAACTTATTTCAAAACCCTAAGCAGATCCTGTAAGATGATGATTTTGGGGGGGTATGACCTTCCTTTAAAAAAAAAAAACTGAACACTTAACTTTAAAATGGCTACCTAAAAAAATGGCACCACCAGAAAATACTTGTTGAGGATTCAGAGAAATTGGACCATGCAGACACTGCTTGTGGGAACAGAAAAATGTACTGGAACTTTGAGAAACAACAGGGTAGTTTCTTGTAACTCTAGAGTTACAACTATAAAATGTCCCTGCAGTCATATCCCTGGCTTTTTATCCAGAGAACTGATATTCACACAAAGTCTGTACACAAATGGTGATAGTAATTTTATTTGTAATATGCCAAATCTGGAATGACCCTGATTGCTCTTGGATAGCTGAACAGTTAAATAAAAATGGGTCCTGGGGCTGGAGCGATAGCACAGCAAGTACGGTTTCTGCCTCGCATGCAGCCAACCCAGGTTAGATTCCCAGCAACAGATATGGTACCCTGAGCACCGCCAGGAGTAACTCCTGTGCATAGCCATGTGTGACACAAAAAGCAAAATAAATAAACAAATTTTAAAAAATGGGTCCTTTACACAGAAAGACTGCATTCATCTGGGGAACATAAAGTAACAAAATAGGAGACTAACACCCAAGAATAGCCGAGATAAGTACCAGGAGGTTTACTCCATGGCTTGGAGGCCAGCTGCACACTCTAGGGGTAAAGGCAGCTCAGATAGAGAAGGGAACACCAAATAAAAGGTGTTGGGAAGATCCACCCAGGATGGGAGATGCATGTTGAAAGTAGGCTATAGACCGAACATGATTGCCACTCAATTCCTCTTTTGCAAACCACAGCACCCAAAAGGAGAGAGAGAACAAAAGGGAATGCCCTGCCACAGAGGCAGGGTGGGATGCAGGGATGGGGGGTGGGAGGGATACTGGGATTGGGATTAGTGGTGGTGGAGAATGGGCACTAGTGGAGGGATGGGAACTCGATCATTGTATAACTGAAACCCAAGCACAAAAATTTGTAAGTCTACAACTGTACCTCATGGTGTTTCACTAATAAAAATTTTTTTAAAAATGGGTCCTTTAGGTGCTGGAGAGATAATAAAAACTGGAACCAGTCATTTTCCATCATAGAAAAAAAATTGCAAAGGGAGAGATTAGCACATGCCATGGCCTGTTCAGAACGATCTCTCCAAACATCTACCACTACCGCCTAAACCCTTCCTTGGTCATTCCATCAAAAGTAAGACAGCAATGTCAAGTTATTTACCTGCTCTATTAATACCATAGACTGACATCCAAATTTAATAATATGTTTAAAAAAAAAAAAGGTGTGCTGTTGCAGGACCCAAAAAACTGCTCCCAGGATCCGTGCCATTTAATTTTAGCTTTATAAGCCCTAAGCGGTCGAATTCAATTCAATGTGGTAGAAAGCAGGAGAAGTGCTCGCTTACGTCCTCTGGCAGAGTGAGATGGAGCTCCGCATCGGCCTGGCCTAGGATCCGCGAGTGGAAGTACGTGCTGCACGCTGCCAGGACAGAGCGGTGTGCGCGGAAGCGCTGGCCCTCCACCAGCACCGTGACATCGCACAGCACATCCTTCTTCCGCTGGTCGTCCAGGCTGAGCAAGACGTTGGCACTGTGCACCGAGGACTCATAGGCGAAAACCGAACTCTCACTCAGAGACATTCTGTGTAACGGATGGTGCTGGGAAACTCAGTGAGAGCATGCTTCTGATCGGCGTCAAACCTGCAAAGACAGGAGAGAGCTCACTCAGGATGCAAGGGGGTCAAAATGCTTTTTGAAAATAATACAGTACTACATGTCACCTTCAAGTGAAATCTTAAGAGCTGGCATGAAAAAGACAAGAGAACCAACCAACAAAATAGTCACTGCTACAAAACCAAGATGTAGAACTACATTCCATTTTGTACACAAATAACCAGCTAGAAGAAAGAATTAAGAAAACGATCCATTTGCAATCGCAGAAGAGTTAGGTACCTGGAATGAATGCCTCAAGCATGGTTTAAGACCTGTTCACTGATAATTGCAAGACACCTTTAAAAGAAGTAGAAGACAAAAGGAACTGGAAAGACTGTGCTCAGAAACAAAAGAACTGAAATTGTTAAAACAGTGATCCCATGCCAAGTACTGTACAGATTCAGTGCAATCCCAGTCAAAAGTCCAAAGCAGAAGAAATAGAACATTACCAGAATCTGCATAGAACCACAGAAGCTCCTGAAGAGCCCAAGTAATCCTGAGAAAAATGGAATGAGTGGTCAAACTCACCTATTTAAACTGATTACAAAACTGAAATAATAAAACCAGTGTGGTACTGTTATGAATACAGACTCGCAGATCAAAGTTCAAAGCCCTAAAGCAAAGTCACATGTATATACTACACATTCTCTCTCCATATATATATTTTTATATATGCAATTTATGTGTGTACGTCTATATACATATGGATAGTTAATTCATGACAAGGAGCAAAGAGCACAAAATGGAGAAAGTCTTCAGTAAACAGTGCTAGGAAATTGGATAGTCACATGTAGAACACTGAACCTTGAACACTGAACCTCGCTATGTCACAAGGCTGAGAGTGGTCCTCACCATGCATAAATGTTAAAGTCAACATGGGTAAGAGACCCAGCTATGGGTCTGAAGCCAGACAATACAGAGAAGCAAACAGAGGTGATACACTTCACAATCTCAGTTCCAGTGATGTCCCTGGGGAAGTCAACACTAGAAACCAGGGAAACAAAAGCACAGCTAAACAAAGAAAACGGTAACTAAAAATCTTTTGTTTTTAGCCAGAGAGCTAGTCCAGAGGATAGGGTGTTTACCTTGCATGTGGCCAACCGGGGTTCGATCCCCCGCATCCCATAAGGTGCCCCCAGCACCACCAGTTCCTTAGTGTAGAGCCAGAACTAACCCCTGTACATTGTCAGGTGTGGCCCAAGAACCAAAAATAAAAATCTGTTCTTTAATAAAATAAATTGCCACTAACATGAAAAGCTCCAACTGAATGGGAGAAAATCGGCACGTATCATACAGCCAAAAAATGGCTAATACATATAAAGAGCTCAAAAATCTCAAAAACAAAAAATATATATTAAAAATATTAGGGCAGAAGTGCTAAATAGATGCTTGGGCAAAAAAAAAAAAAGAAGCCCAGGGGGTAAATATGCCCATGGAGGAAAAGTAAAAATAAGAAAACGAAAATGAGGTTTTTCCATATCCTGTAAGAGGGTGTGTCAAAGGCCAAAACCAGCAGGTGCTGAAGACATGGAGACAGAGACAAACCCTCCTACACCACTGGTGGGACCATATGCCGGTTCAGTTCCTCAAAACATCAAAAATAGATTTATCATGTGATCCTGCAATCCACTCCTAGATACTAACATGAAGAATACCAATTTAAAAAGAGATAATGCACTCCACTGTTTACTCCGTATATTACTTAGCCAACATTTAGAAACCACCCAGGTGCCCAATGGCCACTGAGTAGGTATGTTAAACACGGCAGATACACGAATGAATTATTAAGCTGAAAATTGATGAAATCGTATCCTTTGCTACAACATAGAAGGAACTGGAGGAAGTTGCGCTAAGTGAATTCAATCAGAAGGAGATAAACACTGAATGATTTCATTTCATACGTGGGATAGAAGAGAATCGAAAGCAAGGGAATAGACAATACCAAATGAAAATAAGACCTTGATTTTAACTGTTGCAATTAGATTTTTGGGGGGTAAGTTTTCTTTAGGAAAAAGCTTCATAATGTGAGGGGAAAGAACTGATATTTGAATAACAATTATTTCAGGGCTCTCTTAAAGTGAGATACTTTATAATGAAAAGATCACGATAAGCAAACTTATGGGAAATGTCCATGTGACTTCCCGATTCTACTGCTTTGGGACAGTCGTTTGGCATGGGTACGCAAAGTCACCAGTGGCAACTCTGGGATGGGACTCCACGGTTCAGCAGGCATATGGTATACCACCATTCTCGATGCCCCATTTCCCAACATGTGACAGCTGGTATGGGCAGTTATGTACCTCATACATAACAAGGATATATTCGACAGAAGGTTCCTCTAACACAAATAAAAACAAAACAACTCAAATTCGTCAGGTCACACATTTTAATAGTGAGTCTCTTTATATACAGCAAGGCCTAATTTGACACTATAAAATGAAAGCAACAAGCAAAACCATTCCATCGTTAAGAATACACTTTACCACATGGAGAAACCCTTGCTTTTCTCAAAATACTTAAGAGAAAGCTATCCAAAGAAGCGTGAATTTTTAAGCATGTGATTAATCTGTAGAAGCATCCAGATAGTGATTTTGATTGAATACAAATTTCTGGGGGAAAAAAAAAAAGAGTAGCCCTCTTCAAGTACTTCAAACTGAGATTATTTCCTATAAAACAAGAAGGCAAGGCATCAAGTTTAGAGAGAAGTTCCCGCCTTTCCTTCTGGAGAAGGCAGATCAGTGCCGGCACTGGGGGGGTGGGGAGCTGCACCCTGTGAGAACTCGGTGCTGGACGAATCTGAACTCTCGAGGACACCACCCTGTCACCCTGTTGTCCCTCAATCTGTATCTTGAGGTAACCTGTGCCATGAAGGTGCCAAGTGTGCAGCAATGAGTGTCCCATTTCCAATACACTCTACATCAAGCAGAAATGGCTCAGAGATTCAGACAAAACCAGCCCAGGCCAGTGCTCCGAATTCCCCCTGAAACTCAGGCTGCTGAGTCGCAAGCTCATGCATTGGCAACTCTGAATTCTCCTCCTGGTGTGTGCTGGGCTTTAAAGCACTCCACAGGGCTGAAATATTAAGTTCCTGGGAAGTGAATGAAAAAGGAAACCTCTCCCGATGGGTAGTGAGACCCTCAACCCATCCAGGCGGGTTTAGCAATCGCTATGGCGGACATAGATGGGAACTTCAAATCTGAGTCCCATAACTGACTTGATTTGAGGACTGTCCCATACAATAGGAGCAGTAAATTCCTTTTAGTGACTGGTCTTAATATTTCAATGATCGGCACCAAATAAACTACAACTAAAATCGGGAAGCCACATCATTCAAAAGAACTGCAGAACTTGGAGCGAGTAGAGAACTCGGCACAGCATCGACCACAGGCTGCCCTGGCTTTGGGCCACAGGACACCAGGAATCACAGCTGACTACTTTTCCCTCCTGAATTCCTGCACGCGCAAGCCCCCCCACCCCCCACCACACACACACACACACACACCTTCCAGTTTCTTTTCTAACATCTGCGTGGTAACCTTAAAACTGTGCTCATCTGAAATTAGTTAACTTTATAATCTGATCATTCTGAGCACGACACAGCCAAGAAAAGCAGCAAAGAATGTAGAGATCCATGCAGCAACGGTGTACTAACTTAAGAGTGCCAATGCTGCTGATCAACAATTCTGGATGTCCCTACCTCCCTTTCTCCACGACAGCCTTGTAAGCCATGACTTTCTCCTCCAACAGGCCACCACATCTGGGATCCAACCTCAGGACCTAAGCCTCACCCCTCCTACCAGACTCCTACTCACAAGAATCCATTAGTGTCAACTCTTGATCTCATACAACCTTCCTTCTCTAGATTCCAGGAACATCTCTAAACCCCCTTGTTGAAGAGATGTTTAAGCAGTCCCTCTACACTGGCTCCTTCCCATGGTCCTTTACTTAAGTCACTCCAGAAACTGTTCCAAAAATACTACTAACAGCAAATACTCAATAAACTCAAGTCTACACCAGGCACTGAGCTAGGGTGCCAGATACAGCTAATATTTCCAGCTCACAGGTGCACTGAAACAAAGGCTCTTAAACCACTCTACCTTTATAGATGAGGATACTGAGGCACAGAGAATCGCCTTGGCCAACTTCAAAGACCAGTGAGAGGGAGAAGGGAAACAGGTACTAAGCTTCTGACTACTCCCTACTGAGTCTCCCGCTAGCCAGTATTTGCTGATAATGGAGTATGGGGACTCACTTCAGTACTCCGGGGATCCAGGTGTTTAATGAACAGTCATGCTTCAGAGTCAGGAAAGACGCCTCTTTGAAAAATGAATCACATTCAACAGTAGAACCTAAAGGTTCTTTGGATCCTAGGTATCTAAAGCAAAAACAACACTCCTAGAGAACAAATACTATGTCATTAGCTACTATTAATGATAAGCACAAGTCTCATCCCTTCCAAGTCCCTCTCTATTCTCTTATTCCCCCGTATCAAAGTTATTTCTCCTTGCCAAAAATCCTAGTATGCTTTCTACACTTCCTAGGATCAATTCTAAATCCCATGCATATCCATATCGGCATAGTCTGCTCTCTTAAAAACAAACCCAAACACACACACACAAACACACACATACATGTCCTCCTGCCCTCCCCCTTCTCTCCCCTCTCCCTCCCCTCATTCCCTTTCCCTATCCCCTCTCTCCCCTTGGGTTTCTTTCCTACCCAGACGGAGGAGTAGCCCCTTCAGGCCCAGCATAAATACCACAACCACACTGTGACTTATTTTCTGTCAGAAGATACGTGCTTCTGAATGACTTACTTGGCACTTTTAGTACAAATCCAAAGTCCAGACCATGTACATCCTCCAAACACAGCCAAAGTCAACTCTTCAGACACATGGAGACAAAGACGCCAAGCTCAGTCCCATGAAAAGCCCTGGAGTAGCTGGATCAAACAGGAACCACAGCTCATCCGGCCAGGGGCAAGACAAC